ATGGTGAAAGGCTGCCGTGCTTGCTGCTGTTTGGGCATCCGATGATGCTGGGTGACGACCTGCTGGGACTCCCCATGCTGCTCCTCCCCGTCCGACTCCTCCGGCCCCTCCCTCTCTACTCCGACTCCTCCCACCATCCCTGGCGACTGACCGTCGGACCCCCACCTGCTGGCTGTGGTTCATCACGCTGCGGCTGCTCATGGGCAGAATCCCCCTGTGGAGATGGGGAAAGAGGGAGCTGTAAAAGCCATAGAGGAGGAGGAGAAGGAGAGAAAGTGTATGCTTTTTACCTGCTCGGCGAGGGAGGCGTGTGCATTGTTCAGTGTTGGGCGTACTGGCGTGACTGGGGAGCTGACTGCCGATTGGTTCAACCCACTTCGACTTAACTGAGGAGCCGCACTGCTGTTCATCCCACGCATGGGAAACCCAACGCACCTGAAACAAGATTAACAGACACGTGGTTATTGGTCTGAATGCTCTGGATTTGTTTGGACCAGAGAGGTAGGCGCTTTTAAGACACCCCCACACGGCCGTTTTGGACGCCCCTCTGTTTGTCAGATATGAGAGCAGTTATCAGGTCAACAGGTGTTGCAGTGATGGAAGCGGTCAAGAGAAGTGGTTCAGATAGAAGTGATTGTACCGACCAAAAGCCTCATTTGAAACTTCAAGAAACTTTCCTGAGATTTAAATGCAGCTGAAGGCTTATCATGTTTTAGATTTTGTATGAGTAAAGACAACATAAAGGAAGCTCGAGCAAGACTCTGATTATGAGACAGAAACAGATGTGTGTGTGTTCATCTTACTCTGCGGGCCATATAAACTGGCTCCGAGCTGTGACAGTTGACCCGTTGAGGAGCAGAGGAAGACGCCAGCATCTAAAGACGACACAGACACATAGACATCAGGCAGGGAAAATAAATAACTAACCTCGTACATTAGTGTGTGACTTGTCCCAGCAGCTGCTTTGAATCTGAAATCAAAGTTGACTCACGTCTTTGTCAGGGCGGTGTGGAGGGAACATGGACTGTTGGGTGTAGTAGAGGCTGGAGTCGTCCGAGTAGTCGCTCTCTACCCCTCCTCCATAAACTTCTTCCGGTTAGCACCAAACATACCGCGTGTCACCTGACAGAGCAGACACAGGGACATGTTTAAACGGAGGAATCAGCTCCTACTTTCCACACCTGCAGAGTCTCGAGATGCTGTTACAGAAGGAACCTCTGCAATCACAAACCTGCAGAGAGATTCTTTTTGTAACCATTAAAACCTGTGATCCTCGCCTAATCAAAAGCTGTTTTCACATCTGCACTCCTGAAAATATCTAGATCATTTCAGGAGGACTGTTCCTGAAATCCTCCTGACCTGTTTGTTATCCCTGTCAGACAAGAGGGGGGGGGGTCTCCTCAGGTAAGACATGACGTAAAAAAAACAACGTGGAAGTTTTGAACGAAGCATCAAAGTCCTCCATATGACTCTATGATGAGAATATGTGTGTTTGTATCAGTGCTTCGTGTAGTTGAAGAGAATCTCAATGTGAACTAAAGAGAGGAGAAGAACATCCTGGAGAACAGGAAACATGCAGCAGCAGGTTGATTAGAGCACGGAGATGGTAGAGGTGGCGTGCAGACAGTCTATGGTCGTGCAGCGATCACAGGTGAATAAAGGTCACCACCCCCTCCCACTGGCTCCTCCCACTGGCTCCAGGTGAATTCTCCTGATTATATCCTGCTGTGTTCTCACGTCAGCTCACTCTGACTTTCTGCAGAATAAACACGAGGAGGCTGGAGGAGAAACATTCAGATGTTTGAGTGATCACATGACGCTCAGACTGAAAACACTTCAGGAGGTTTTCTGCAGGTGTGAACGCCCTAATTCAGCCCTCCCTTCATTGATGCAGAACGCTTATTTCTTTTTATCTTATTCTTAAAGTAGTTTTGAATTAAAGTAATGAATAGGTTTAGAATTACTGGAGTTGAGTTTGATCTGATCAGCTTTTGTATTTTATTACGCAGGAAAGAAACATTTCCTACTAATTTAATTTAAAGAGAATTCTCATGTATTAATCTTTGTGGCTCAATTTGAGTTTTTATTCCATAACGAAGGTTGTCCACGTTGCGTACCGTGTTTGTGCTCGTGCATGAACCGTACCGTGCCGAAGCAAACCTCTTCCAAGCGTGCCCGGGTCGAGGAAGTGTACCGAGCTTGAGCACTCACGCCAGTCAAACGAACTGGGCTGTGAGGGTGAAGTGTGCTTGGGGACGCTACAGATTGCACAAATACATTGGCAACTCTGTCATACCAAAACTTTTTGATAGTTTAAAGTTCTGCGTGTGCCGCCACACTGACGTCACAACGTCTAAAAACTACATCATGGTCAGTTTGTTCTAAGCCAATAGAATTAATGCACCCATGATTATTTGTCAAATATCAGAATAACAAATTGAATTAACAATACCCAGCCCTAATTAAAACATGACGATGTTTCAGTGCTGATGAACAAACCTTTTGTTATGGAAACGCTTCACCAAGCATCTTAACACGTTCATGTTCAGTTTAGTGAGAGAGGAGTTGAAACGTGGCTCTACAACCTGAGGAGCTTTGACTGAACCTTTTTATTAAACCACTTCACAACCTGCAGCTCTACCTGACTCTGAAACAGACTGAAACCGGACTGACACCGGACTGAAACCGGACTGAAACCAGACTGACACCGGACAGAAACCGGACTGAAACCGGACTGACACCGGACAGAAACCGGACTGAAACCGGACTGACACCGGACGGAAACTGGACTGAAACCAGAAGGAAACCGGACTGAAACCGGACGGAAAACCGGACAGAAACCAGACTGACACCGGACAGAAACCGGACAGAAACCAGACTGAAACCAGAAGGAAACCGGACTGAAACCAGAAGGAAACCGGACGGAAACCGGACAGAAACCGGACTGAAACCAGAAGGAAACCGGACTGAAACCAGAAGGAAACCGGACGGAAACCGGACAGAAACCAGACTGAAACCAGAAGGAAACCGGACTGAAACCAGAAGGAAACCGGACGGAAACCGGACAGAAACCGGACTGAAACCAGACTGAAACCGGACGGAAACCAGAAGGAAACCGGACTGAACCAGAAGGACCGGACGGAAACCGGACAGAAACCGACTGAAACCAGACTGAAACCGGACGGAAACCAGAAGGAAACCGACTGAAACCGGACTGAAACCGACGGAAACCAGAAGGAAACCGGACTGAAACCGGACGGAAACCAGAAGAAACCGGACACAAACCGGACGAAACCAGAAGGAAACCGGACTGAACCGACTGAAACCGGACTGAAACCGGACGGAAACCAGAAGGAAACCGGACTGAAACCGGACTGAAACCAGAAGGAAACCGGACTGAAACCGAACTGAAACCGGACTGAAACCGGACGGAAACAGAAGGAAACCGGACTGAAACCAGAAGGAAACCGGACTGAAACCGGACAGAACCGGACTGAAACCAGAAGGAAACCGGACTGAAACCGGACTGAAACCGGACTGAAACCAGAAGGAAACCGGACTGAAACAGAAGGAAACCGGACTGAAACCAGATGGAAACCGGGCAGCTGAGACATTTAAAGTGTTGGGAAATGAAGCCCACAGTCTGTGGAAGCAGAAATCTGTCCGGTTTACTTTTGTTTACTGAAGTATTTTACAGACAGTGATGCTCAGAGAACAACAGCTAATTACAATTTTATATATTTTATCATGTAAAGAATACAGTAAGATCACGTTTTAGTTGAAAAACCCTTCTAAACTTCATGCAGCCTGCCACAAACCTGAAAACTAGCTCCAAAGCAACGTTGAAGCTGCGGCAGTGTCGCAAAATGCTAGCTAAAGTTAGCGCTTTGAAGCTAATGTTAGCTTCGATAATCTTCCGGTTGAACGTTCATTTAAATGAAAGTCTACCCACTGGTTTATACACAGCGATGTGTATAGTGTCTTTTCTGCTAATTAAAGACTAATTAAAAATCCCAACTTTTATCAAATTAACCCGAGAGATGTATAATGTTAGCAGGAGCTACTGCTAACCGACTAGCGCTCTGAGCTAACAGCTAGTTCCATATGAATGCATGGGGGTTAGCATAGGAGCTAATGCTCGAGCTGAGCGGCTAACAGCAAAGTGCAGCTCATCAGAGCAGGTGAAGCAGTCCGAGTTGTATCTGGGAGGTAAATAACTGCGGCTCGTACTCGGCTGTGCAGACAGAGCGCCGGTCAGAGGGAACCAGCGGGCACAGGGGGGGTTTCCTCCGGGTTTGGGCCTGCAGCGCCTCCGTCTCTCAGTTCCCCCAAAACAACAACAATAAGAAACGGAACCGGGATGCCTGGCTTCATGCACATGTATCCGCCCTCTCCCCTTCAAAGTCCGGCACCGTTGTAACGGCAACATGGGAGGAATGTGATCTGAGTGAGGTTGTGGTCGCTCGTTTCTGAGAAAAAGAAATTTAAGGAGTAAAAAGGAGCTTACCGCATCAATCTTTCTTCCCCGCTACAATCCAAGATGGCCGACATCACTTCGCCAATCAACGAGGATGCTGGGAAGCCTTTCGCCTCTGACCCCGGAGCCTCCGTCACCTCCTCTGTTATACACCTGAGCCTCCGTCACCTCCACTGTTATACACCTGAGCCTCCATCACCTCCTCTGTTATACACCTGAGCCTCCGTCACCTCCACTGTTATACACCTGAGCCTCCATCACCTCCTCTGTTATACACCTGAGCCTCCGTCACCTCCTCTGTTATACACCTGAGCCTCCGTCACCTCCACTGTTATACACCTGAGCCTCCATCACCTCCACTGTTATACACCTGAGCCTCCGTCACCTCCTCTGTTATACACCTGAGCCTCCGTCACCTCCTCTGTTATACACCTGAGCCTCCGTCACCTCCTCTGTTATACACCTGAGCCTCCATCACCTCCACTGTTATACACCTGAGCCTCCGTCACCTCCTCTGTTATACACCTGAGCCTCCATCACCTCCTCTGTTATACACCTGAGCCTCCGTCACCTCCTGTTATACACCTGAGCCTCCATCACCTCCACTGTTATACACCTGAGCCTCCGTCACCTCCACTGTTATACACCTGAGCCTCCGTCACCTCCTCTGTTATACACCTGAGCCTCCATCACCTCCACTGTTATACACCTGAGCCTCCGTCACCTCCTCTGTTATACACCTGAGCCTCCATCACCTCCTCTGTTATACACCTGAGCCTCCGTCACCTCCTCTGTTATACACCTGAGCCTCCATCACCTCCACTGTTATACACCTGAGCCTCCGTCACCTCCACTGTTATACACCTGAGCCTCCGTCACCTCCTCTGTTATACACCTGAGCCTCCATCACCTCCACTGTTATACACCTGAGCCTCCGTCACCTCCACTGTTATACACCTGAGCCTCCATCACCTCCACTGTTATACACCTGAGCCTCCATCACCTCCACTGTTATACACCTGAGCCTCCGTCACCTCCTCTGTTATACACCTGAGCCTCCGTCACCTCCACTGTTATACACCTGAGCCTCCATCACCTCCTCTGTTATACACCTGAGCCTCCATCACCTCCACTGTTATACACCTGAGCCTCCATCACCTCCACTGTTATACACCTGAGCCTCCGTCACCTCCACTGTTATACACCTGAGCCTCCATCACCTCCACTGTTATACACCTGAGCCTCCATCACCTCCACTGTTATACACCTGAGCCTCCGTCACCTCCTCTGTTATACACCTGAGCCTCCATCACCTCCACTGTTATACACCTGAGCCTCCGTCACCTCCACTGTTATACACCTGAGCCTCCGTCACCTCCACTGTTATACACCTGAGCCTCCATCACCTCCACTGTTATACACCTGAGCCTCCATCACCTCCACTGTTATACACCTGAGCCTCCGTCACCTCCTCTGTTATACACCTGAGCCTCCGTCACCTCCACTGTTATACACCTGAGCCTCCATCACCTCCACTGTTATACACCTGAGCCTCCGTCACCTCCACTGTTATACACCTGAGCCTCCGTCACCTCCTCTGTTATACACCTGAGCCTCCATCACCTCCACTGTTATACACCTGAGCCTCCGTCACCTCCACTGTTATACACCTGAGCCTCCATCACCTCCTCTGTTATACACCTGAGCCTCCGTCACCTCCACTGTTATACACCTGAGCCTACGTCACCTCTGTTATACACCTGAGCCTCCATCACCTCCACTGTTATACACCTGAGCCTCCATCACCTCCTCTGTTATACACCTGAGCCTCCGTCACCTCCACTGTTATACACCTGAGCCTCCGTCACCTCCTCTGTTATACACCTGAGCCTCCGTCACCTCCACTGTTATACACCTGAGCCTCCTCACCTCCTCTGTTATACACCTGAGCCTCCGTCATCTCCACTGTTATACACCTGAGCCTCCGTCACTCCTCTGTTATACACCTGAGCCTCCGTCACCTCCACTGTTATACACCTGAGCCTCCGTCACCTCCACTGTTATACACTGAGCCTCCGTCACTCCTCTGTTATACACCTGAGCCACCTTCATCACCTCCTCTGTTATACACCTGAGCCTCCGTCACCTCCTGTTATACACCTGAGCCTCCATCACCTCCACTGTTATACACCTGAGCCTCCGTCACCTCCTCTGTTATACACCTGAGCCTCCGTCACCTCCACTGTTATACACCTGAGCCTCCGTCACCTCCACTATTATACACCTGAGCCTCCGTCACCTCCTTGTTATACACCTGAGCACCTGAGCCTCCATCACCTCCTCTGTTATACACCTGAGCCTCCGTCACCTCCTCTGTTTACACCTGAGCCTCCATCACCTCCACTATTATACACCTGAGCCTCCATCACCTCCACTATTATACACCTGAGCCTCCATCACCTCCTCTGTTATACACCTGAGCCTCCATCACCTCCACTTATTATACACCTGAGCCTCCGTCACCTCACTGTTATACACCTGAGCCTCCATCACCTCCACTATTATACACCTGAGCCTCCATCACCTCCACTATTATACACCTGAGCCTCATCACCTCCACTGTTATACACCTGAGCCTCCGTCACTCCTCTGTTATACACCTGAGCCTCCGTCACCTCCTCTGTTATACACCTGAGCCTCCATCACCTCCACTGTATACACCTGAGCCTCCATCACCTCCACTGTTATGTCACCTCCTCTGTTATACACCTGAGCCTCCATCACCTCCTCTGTTATACACCTGCTCACTGTTACCTACACCTGAGCCTCCGTCACCTCCTCTGTTATACACCTGCGTCACCTCACTTACCTGAGCCTCCGTCACCTCCTCTGTTATACACCTGAGCCTCCGTCACCTCCACTGTTATACACCTGAGCCTCCGTCACCTCCACTGTTATACACCTGAGCCTCCATCACCTCTGTTATACACCTGAGCCTCCCACCTCCTCTGTTATACACCTGAGCCTCCGTCACCTCCACTGTTATACACCTGAGCCTCCATCACCTCTGTTATACACCTGAGCCTCCATCACCTCTTTAACACCTGAGCCTCCGTCACCTCCACTTATACACCTGAGCCTCCATCACCTCTTATACACCTGAGCCTCCGTCACCTCCTCTGTTATACACCTGAGCCTCCTCACCTCTGTTATACACCTGAGCCTCCGTCACCTCCACTGTTATACACCTGAGCCTCCATCACCTCTGTTATACACCTGAGCCTCCATCACCTCTCGTTATACACCTGAGCCTCCATCACCTCCACTGTTATACACCTGAGCCTCCATCACCTCTGTTTACACCTGAGCCTCCATCACCTCTGTATACACCTGAGCCTCCATCACCTCCACTTTATACACCTGAGCCTCCATCACCTCTGTTATACACCTGAGCCTCCGTCACCTCCTCTTTCTACACCTGAGCCTCCGTCACCTCCTCTGTTATACACCTGAGCCTCCGTCACCTCCTCTGTTATACACCTGAGCCTCCGTCACCTCCACTGTTATACACCTGAGCCTCCGTCACCTCCACTGTTATACACCTGAGCCTCCATCACCTCTGTTATACACCTGAGCCTCCGTCACCTCCTCTGTTATACACCTGCCTCCGTCACCTCCACTGTTATACACCTGAGCCTCCATCACCTCTGTTATACACCTGAGCCTCCATCACCTCTGTTATACACCTGAGCCTCCGTCACCTCCACTGTTATACACCTGAGCCTCCATCACCTCTGTTATACACCTGAGCCTCCGTCACCTCCTCTGTTATACACCTGAGCCTCCATCACCTCTGTTATACACCTGAGCCTCCGTCACCTCCACTGTTATACACCTGAGCCTCCATCACCTCTGTTATACACCTGAGCCTCCGTCACCTCCTCTGTTATACACCTGAGCCTCCATCACCTCCTCTGTTATACACCTGAGCCTCCGTCACCTCCTCTGTTATACACCTGAGCCTCCATCACCTCCTCTGTTATACACCTGAGCCTCCGTCACCTCCTGTTATACACCTGAGCCTCCTCACCTCCTTTTATACGCCTCCGTCACCTCCTCTGTTATACACCTGAGCCTCCATCACCTCCTCTGTTATACACCTGAGCCTCCGTCACCTCCTCTGTTATACTGAGCCTCCGTCACCTCTGTTATACACCTGAGCCTCCGTCACCTCCACTGTTATACACTGAGCCTCCGTCACCTCCTCTGTTATACACCTGAGCCTCCGTCACCTCCTCTGTTATACGCCTCCGTCACCTCCTCTGTTATACACCTGAGCCTCCGTCACCTCCACTGTTATACCTGAGCTCCGTCACCTCCACTGTTATACACCTGAGCCTCCGTCACCTCCTCTGTTATACACCTGAGCCTCCATCACCTCCTCTGTTATACACCTGAGCCTCCGTCACCTCCTCTGTTATACACCTGAGCCTCCGTCACCTCCACTGTTATACACCTGAGCCTCCGTCACCTCCACTGTTATACACCTGAGCCTCCGTCACCTCCTCTGTTATACACCTGAGCCTCCGTCACCTCCTCTGTTATACACCTGAGCCTCCATCACCTCCACTGTTATACACCTGAGCCTCCATCACCTCCTCTGTTATACACCTGAGCCTCCGTCACCTCCACTGTTATACACCTGAGCCTCCATCACCTCCTCTGTTATACACCTGAGCCTCCATCACCTCCTCTGTTATACACCTGAGCCTCCATCACCTCCTCTGTTATACACCTGAGCCTCCGTCACCTCCACTGTTATACACCTGAGCCTCCGTCACCTCCTCTGTTATACACCTGAGCCTCCATCACCTCCACTGTTATACACCTGAGCCTCCATCACCTCCTCTGTTATACACCTGAGCCTCCGTCACCTCCACTGTTATACACCTGAGCCTCCATCACCTCCTCTGTTATACACCTGAGCCTCCATCACCTCCACTGTTATACACCTGAGCCTCCATCACCTCCTCTGTTATACACCTGAGCCTCCGTCACCTCCACTGTTATACACCTGAGCCTCCATCACCTCCACTGTTATACACCTGAGCCTCCATCACCTCCTCTGTTATACA